TCGTTCCCTAATTCAGTAGGCAAATTCAAATCCTTACCTTATATATCCCATCATATCTGTTCCCTTCTACAGGGGCATATTTGCTATGTTTGCCTCCTTTTACGTTCCTCACCACTCGGACCGGCTTTCCAGCTCTCCAGTCCTTGGCTTCAGCACCATTTTTGTCGTTGATGGGAGCGCTGCAGTTCAGAGCCAGAGCTCTGTAAGAGAAAACCCAGTCAACTGGGTGTATTTACCAGGCAGAACTCTTCAGAATCAGCAAAGCAAAGCTTGCACGGTAAACCAGCTACTAGGAATTAATAAATTTAACTATAGTATTTTACTAAGACCAACACGTTGAATCAGTTGAGTACAATACCAAGAGTAGTAGCATACTGGTATTGTGCTGAACCACAGCAATGGCTACCAAAAAAGTGGAAGCTATTGCCTCTTTGCAGATAGAGAAGGAGCCTCTTCTGCATCTTTTCCAAGAAGAAAGGATGTAGCTGGGCTTTTGTTTGTCTTAACTTGTAACGCTTTCAAGTATCTTCTGTAACACTAAGAACTCTGGGAGATAGTAATTAAGCCTCCTGACTGAGGAACACATTTTAAATAGGCTTATTATTCATTACATTACCCTAATGTAGTTGTGCAGACCACCTCGTCCACTTAAGGCCACACTGATTTGTAAAAGTAACAGTTCAGAATTACAAATGATCTGGTCTCCCCAGGTGACTCATACACCAGTGGCTGCAAAGGCCTTCAGGAGAGAGAATGAAAACTTCTACGCTAATTTATTACTCTGTTCCTTAAGTTTCAGTCAGTATTAAATGCGAGACTAGTACCATTTACAGTTCTGTTTCATTTATAGTGTACTATAAGAAGCATTTCCATTGCACAACCGATCTGCAGCCTACACCACAGTCAAAACTTAATTTTGACAGTTTTTCCACTTAGGCAGTTTCTTTTGGTAAAAACAGGACAAACCATTTTTCAGGTTGACGGACTGCCAGCTATTAAGGTTAGGAATGGAGTGCAAACGTTGCCAACCTGTTCATATTGGTGAGTTTTTGATCACAAGACTGTTCCGCTGTGCGTTTGTTTCCAGAAAGATCACGCCCTCCGCTCCCTGTATATGTGAAGGAATTTCCATGATCCTGAAACGTATATGGATGGTTTCGACACATTCACAAAAATAATGCAGTAAAAACAGAAGAGTCTTTTAATCAACTAGCTTTATTCTCAAAAAAGGATGACACTTCCTCCATTTAAGCTCCCAGGCTCAGTCTATGGTCCTCCCTTGTATTGCAAGAGAGAAGAGTCGAGGTGACGACTGTTGTCTTGTCACATACCTTACAGTGCTAAGAGAGCTCTGCCGAGAGAGCCGCACACCACTCGCATAGGATCCACCTGAAGTGCAGCAGCATGCTCCAGATAAGGATAATGTAACTTTTTACATGACCGTGCACTCAGAATTAAAACTGAGAACAACTACTGAGATTCATGGCTATCTGTTTTAACACAAGTTCTAACAGGCATTTGGAGTAAGGGGGTGTGGGCTACTAATGCACCAGCGATCTGCGAGAAGAATGGGGAGTAGAGCCTGGTACGGCCGAGTAGAGGTTAGGTTTGGCAACAGAACCAAACAGTACGTTCAGAAGCAGGACCTCTGCCCCTAGTTTTGTTCTGAACACTCCTCCGACACAGGAAGATCTGGCAGCACATACCGTGAGACCCTGAAAAGGCAGCTAAGAACTCTTGGATTAAAAGCTGCCACATGGATATTAAGCTTAATTTAGATGATCCTGTTTCTCAGGTTGGCACACATTACTGGATTCTAGTTTTCCTTTGTCTAGTTTTCTTCTGAGGAACAATAAAGATGGGGAAATGCCTGATATAGAGTAAGAAGTAACTAAGGCCAAGTCTTTCTTTTAACTACAAGGTAGATTGGTTCTCAGGTATAAATAATCAAGATTTGCTTACTATGTCGTCTTCATAGCCTCCTGCCAGAACCAAGGAATAGGCACCATCGTTACTTCTGCCATGTATACCTGCTACATGGGGCCTGTGAACACCAGACTCGCTCACCTGGGAAGAAAAAAAAGTTTGCAAGGCAACTGCTGTTGAGAGGCTACAAACAATATGACTACCCATGGGTCTGGGAACTAAACTAACTAACAGTACTATTTCAGGTTTGGTTTGCGTACATTACGGGGTGAAACTGTTCTCACCACTATCCTCCAAAAAGCTCCACGTAAAGAAAAATGCTTTTAAAAAATAACTATTGAATATTTCAGTAAATTGAACACATAGATATTCTTTGTGATGTCAATTTAGAAATTTGGATCTTTCCCACTGAGATGGCTGATTAAAAAGCTCCAAGAATTTTAGAATAATGCAAGTATTAAAATTAAATGCTTGTATAAGGGGATTGGTTTTGAAAGACTTGCAGTAGCAACCTTCATCTAATACTTGAAAACAAGATCTGGATAGTTCCAGGCTTTTTCTTCCCCAATTTTCTAACAGGACGAGAAAACCTTCTGTTTAATAAGTCTCGATACTTGAGAGAGACCCTTACCAGCAGAACAAGTGGGAGATACTACACACCTCCAGGAGAACCTCCTGGAAAGAAACATGTTTGGTTTGGGGGTTTTGAGTCACCGAAAAAGCAAAGGGGAAAAAAAAAACCCACCACTTGAAATGCCTGGACAATGCAGCATTAGTTATGGAACACTTGATCTAGACAAAGCCAGAATTCTTTCTTTGGGCACTTCCATATCCAGTGGCATACGCTCCCAAGATTAACTCTTTCAGGTTTCTCATAAGAGCTGGATCATTCTCATGTTCCCCTACAGTGGCTCAGGCCAGTGATTCAGCTTCATACCTGAACTCTAAACTTCCACATGGTGCCAACCGGAATCCCAGGAATTGGTCCGTAGTGGTTCGAGGGGACAATGGTACACTCCTTTGTGCGACCAACACACGCCATACCCTGTTTCAAAAAACAAGAGCAATCAGCCAAGAATTACAAGGAACTAATGCCACTCTTCAAAATAAAACTGCTTTCGAACTGACCTTGCCCCAGTCTCTCCGCGAGGATGAATTAGCAGATGCCATCTTTTGTTTCTTTTTACTTTCTTTTAATTTCTCTCCTGCTAAAACCACCTCACTTGCATCATTTCGACATTCAGGGCAATACCTAAAGTCACCAGTCAATGAAAATTAGCTAGTAGCAAAGCCTTAAATTAAAAGAGAATTTCCTCAAAACATTCTGAGTTATAACGTTACAATTTCCCCATGTGAAATTAGACCGGGCACCGAAACAACTCTCCCTACTGGAGTTGTTAGACCTGTATTAGCTTGCACAATCCTCTAAGCCATTGCAGATGTGTCAGGAAATCAGCTGTATCAAAAAATCATTGTATAAAATTCTCAAACAGGACACAAGGAATAAAACAGCATATCTCACTATCTATATGTATATACGTAGAGAGATTTCACTCTCTCTATATCTCTCTGTATCTATCACCATAAATATTTAATATATAAAACAGTATTTATTACAAGCCAAATACGGTGATGGGGCCTGCGGACTACCTGTAAGTGACCCATAAAAAACATTATACAAGTTAAACATGCTGGGATCAGGTTTGCATTTGGTTTATAGGTAGCTGCACTTCTCTCTGAATAGGCATATAGATCCAAAAACTAGGAAAAGAACTTTGAAAGCCACTGGCTTAAAACATACTCTCACTAAACTGATGCTCAAGAAAAGCTTTGAAGTCCTACCAAAAAAACACAAACACACACACACCTCTTCACTTGTAGAGTCATGATATTGCCACCTAAGAGCAGCACGAAGCCCTAGACCTCATCACTTTCTGCTCCCAATTAGATGGTAATTGCGATACCACACACACATACTTAGAACTTACCAATCCTCATCATCTGGTATACTACTAAGGGGAGGGTTGAGGCAGTAGATGTGGAAAGCCATATCACACTCATCACACATTAGCTGTTTATCTGGATCTTGTTTACCTCCACAGATATGGCAAGCACAAATTCTGCAGGTCTTGTTCGGGTTGTCCTTACAAGCTTTACACACAGGTCCATTTTGTCCTGTTAGCAAAATGGAACCACAGTTTACTTCAGACTCTGCAAAGTGCCAAGATATGCTGGAAATGGTGAAAGAAGTCACAACTACAAGTGTCTTGGAACTCTTAGACCTTTGAACCTCACCAAGCCAATTAGCAGAATATCACAGAGTAAGAACTATGCGACAGACTCACGTTTTAATGGACTGGCGCTAATAGGACAAGCACTGCCTGGTTCTTCAATTTTATAAATTTCATCCACTAGTGTAATTCTGCAGTCATTCAAGGAATCACCAGCATCCCTACAAGGAGAAGGTGATAAAAGTCAAAAAGAGCAGACTTTAAAAGTATCATACAGCATGAATTCACAGCTGTGCATGTACATGGGTAATGCAGACTACTCTATTAGCCCTGCATCACATCATCTGGGACAGCAGCATGACAGCATCACCATGAAACAAATCACTTTCATGCAATTAAGCACACCCTCTCTTGACTCAATGAGAATCCAGGCACTTGTAGCATTCAATTTTATCACTAGTAACTGTTCTCCCTCTTTCAGACTAAGTCTTCTCATATTTTATAGCTAAAAAGTCAGAATCACTGTGGTGAGAGGAAAAAGGGGGAATATTCTGGCAACCCAGTGAAATTTATCTAAAACTTTAAGAAAAAATATGTACTTTTTTTTTTTTCCTGAAGTTGAGAGTCCCTTGTATGTAGGCTCATTTTCTCCTTTAAGAGAGAACGGAGTAATTTTTCATCATCTTTATAAAGTGAGGGTTCAGTCTACATTATCATATCTAGCACAAAGTGTTACATGGGAGTTTTCATAAAACCATTATGGATAGTTAACAGAGTAAACAATTCTGCAGCTCTTAGTGAATACAGTGTTTCACATCTTCCTGGCATTATGTGAATCCCCAGATCAGCATGCCCTGTGATTCCTTTAAAGCGTCCCATTCTTCCAGAAGTTAATCAGAAGTGCAGTACGACAAAGCCAGTCACCCAGAAAGGACAGCCCACCTTCTCACCCCTCCCCAGCACTGCTGTGGCACCATTTTTGTTGCATCATTTTTTTCCAGCACTCAGACCTCATGAAAGTTTAAGTAGAGCTGAAGAGTTCATTTCTATTCTTTATGAATTTGCTTACCCAAGTAGTATCTTTGCATTTATCTCCTTGATCATTTTTGTTTCCCTTTTTTGCAGAATCTCCGCATCATACCAAAAACCTCTCTCTTTTGGTTCATCGGGATTATAGTTGACCATCACCACCTGTCCTACTTCTAGCTGGTGCCACTTCAAAATAGTCCGTGCACGAGCCCGTACATCATTCGAACTCAATTCTACAACTCCGTTCTCTGGATAACTTGAAGTAGAACAGAGGCACAGAGGGACAGAGAAGAAAAATTAGATTCAATGTAAATTGTTACAAATGATAGATTTTATCCAGACAGGTCGATTTAAGAACCAATGCCACACCACACACAAGAATACCATCGAGAATAAAATCCCCTTCTCCCACAGCCACAGCCAGAAGCAGGCAGTCTAACTTGGCTACTATCATATCCCATTTAAAACTTGGATAATGGCATTTCATATTTCTAAAAACTTGATTCCAACCCACTGGAACTCCAGGTGGAATACAGTTGGAATTCCAACCATTAGAGAAACTTACAGTTAACAGGGCTCAGTAACGTAATTACTGAGTCAGCCTAGTTCTGTTTTACTTTGTGGATCTCTACAATAAACCTTCCCATCCACATCATGACCGAAATGATATAATTAGCCAAGAAGGTACCAAACTCACTCTTCATATTTCACATGATATATTACATCCTCTTCAGGAATGACTGTTGGCTGATCAGGATCTGTGCAACTGTCAGCTGATTTGTTTGTAGGGTTTTTTCTGGTTACATTTACAATCTGGGCTTCAAACCACGCTCCCATATTCATATCTCGAGCATCAACCAAGTCATTGATCTACACAAAGCAAAGTATACAGCTCACCAAAATGGATTTCAAATTAAGCATTAATTTCCAAGTCTACTTGAAGATTTAACTATTTCAAGAACTTCAGCGTTATCAAGGTATTTAACAGTTCACCTTAAAAATTAAGATTTCCTTTACCTTCCTGATCCCCTTGTGCACCCCTACAGTCTTCTCAGGTTGAGCCTCTATGGCTAAAAATTCTACACCAACATGTGTACAAACAGCTTTGTTATCTAGTACAAAACCATTATTAGTTAGTCTATAACAGACTTTCAGAACTGTCTTGCTCATAGCCTGGCAAAGACATCACAAGATCTGTAATAAAATCCATTGAACCAGACAAGTGAAGTGATTCTGAGCAGCTGGTTGAAATTTTCTTTTGTTCATTCAAGAAAGTTTAAGCTTGGACAAATGCAGTGACCCCGAGCAAAAATATTGAGAATTTTTTTTTTTAAATCAAAACAGGCACGCTGAATGCCTTTTTTTTTTTTAATCAATTAATGTATTGTAGCTTCAGTTAAAAGGATAAAATGAAAAATAAGATATTTTGATCGATAACATGTTGCATTTATAATTGGTTTGTGGGCTGGTTGGGGGTTATTTTGTTTGTTTGTTCTGGGAGGGTTTGAGGAAAAAAAAAACAAAAAAAATCCATCCACACAATTGAGGCATGAAAGTTTTAGAAATTCTCAGCTACAGAGAAACAATTCCCCTCCTGAAGCGCAGTTTTAAGTAATCTTAGGGGTTTTTTAACGACTCACCTTATAGAGGCCAAATCCTGGGTCAGTCCAGTCCGGCTGTGCCGCTGTGCTCGGCTGTCCCTCCAGCTCCATGGCACCTTCTCCATTGTGGGAGCTTTTGTCAGATTCGCTTTGGCCTGAGCCACAGCCAGAGTCTGTGTCGGAAAGTTCGGAATCCTTTTCCTTACTAACAGCAGGAAGCACTGCTGGGCTTTGTCTGACCAAGAGTTGAACAATATCGTTCAGTCCAACGCTGTAATCGAAAAGGGAGTGACCATCTTCCATCTACAGGGAAAGCATCAAGATAGTCTGGTCATTTCATTCAACAGAGGTTTGCTAATTCAAAACCACCCATCATGCTGTAAGTGTGTCTACGCGCCAAGGAAGACCACATTGCTTGAAAACCATTAACAATCAAGGAACTTGCCAGTTCCACAGCATCACAGTTACTTATAGATTGTTATTCTTACTATTTAAAAAGTTATTTTCTCAACAGACTCTACAAGCTAGAGGAACAAGACTGCCATGCTGCAGTAGACTTGCTACCCAGATTAAGGCACTGTGTTCTAGGAGATATGAAAAGGTTTGCAGTACCTTCCCTAGAAATATCAATTCTGGGAAGAACTACAGATCCCCTACATTCCTATCAGAATTTAAAGATAATTCCACATAACCTACAAACTTAAAAGGAACTTCTTTCTTCCTCTATTCAGACAAATCCCTTAACACACCTGGTCCGTACAATATAATCATATATGTTCCAGACTGTTACAACATCACTCTGTTAAATGCAGCATTAAGTAGAAGCCAAAGAGCTAATCACCTACTTTTCTCTGAGACAGCATACAATTTTTCCATTGAAAGTAAAATCAAAGAGAGATTCAATTCAACTTGAAACTCCCCAATCACTTTTTAGCATAGCCAGGCACATCCTAATTTCACACCCTCTCTAATTTTAAGAGTTTATTTTGCAAGTCTGTCGTCGGATGTAGTCAAGTCAAGACCCTACCCCTGCAAAAGTAAGAGAAGCACAGAAGACCAAACAGGTCTCTCAATTACCCCTCAAGAACTCTGAGGAACACTACCATTTTAGAGTTAAAATGTAGTACTCGAGACCACAGTGCAGTTAAAAGTTTAGACAAGCTTCACCACATATTTAAGGTCTGACTAAGAAATTATACAGGAAATGATCGTCCCCTTCCAGCCCGAACCACCAGAAAAAGCAATCCCCAGAGCTTTGTTCTCTATCAGGGGGAAACAGAGCAAAACCACAAAAATTTACACTTCACAGGAATCACTATGATAATTCAATTCTGATTTATGGCATAAAACAATCCCTGGAAATCTGACTGTACAGGAAGTGATCTGGACTTTTGCTGATTTATAGACGAAAACTCACCGAGATACACAAGAACAAACCAGAAACCGCTTGTTTCTTCTTAACCAAGAGAGAGTAGCACAAACATAGTATCATTACAACAGTAGTTATCGCGGAGGAACACAAGCACCAACAGGTGCAAACAGAAACAGAAAAGCAGAGAACACTAACGGGACACAAAAGCCCAGGAGCCCAAAGAGCAGTCTGAAAGAAGTGCCAGCATCTGAAGATGTACCTCTAACAAAGGAGGCAGGGTTTTTAATTAACGAGTATTTTCCTAACATAATTTTAAAACCTAGTAAGAGTTTGCACATTCCTAATGATTCAAAAAACCAGACAAAGCACGAATGGGCACAGCAGGGGAACGATGACTAACAGAGGTTAGATCACACTGGATAAATGTTTCTGTCTAAAACCACGCCTAAACTAAGAACTACTGGAATTACACAAAGAGGAATTATCTTTGTGAGGCAAGTGCAGCGTTACTGAAAAAAGTTACCGCTTTTACTGAAAATCTGTTTAACCTTTGTTACCCACACAGACTTCAGCATGAGGCTGACAGTTGGTACCTGCCCTGGACCAATCCTCCCTTATCACTTTATCTACAACCACAAACGGGCAATTACTGCACCCGAGGTGACACAAGCCCTTCCGAGATGCTAAGTATTCCTACAAGCTTCTTTTTTTTTTTTTTTTTAAACTACTACTGGTACCCAAGCTTGTTAGATTAAAGCTAATCCAGGTGTATTTCCATATGCTGCGGTCACACCAGCTAATTATAATGTACAGCTAGCCCAAATCAAGTCAAAATGGAGGGAAAGGTGGAAAAAAGCGACTAGAAGTTGCCTAACTCCACCCATCTCAGTATTCCAACAGCAGACGAAAGCACCCCGTTATTTCTGAAATTAATGTCTCAAGCACGGGTTCAGAAGTTTCTTTAGCATAAAGGTTTAGCAGTGCAGTACTGTGCAGGATATGGAAAAAAGTATTTGAAAACAGTTTTGGTGGTCTTTAATACTAATTTTGATACATTATTAACTCTTGTGGAAGAAAATAGTTGTACAACCGCGAGAGTAAACATACTGTCGAGAACATAACATGCTACTGAGGTACTCAAGATTTTACAGCCAGGTCTGCATCTAATGAGATTTTAAGAGCAGAAGAATTTAAAAATCATGAGCTGCTCTCCCAGTTTCCGAAGAAAAACGGGAAATAGGATCTTTATGGCTTTCAGAGCGGGTAAAACTTGCAACGCTCAAAAACTTTAAGCGCTCAACCACAAAATATCTGGTAATATCTGTATTTTCAGAGACTTCACGAAGGCGGTGTCAAAAGAGAAAAGCAAGAAACCCGATGAAAAGTAATAAGAAAACAAAAAACACTTTTGCAACTAAAAAAGAGCCCACTATCGCTGACTCCTCTCTTTGCACACCCACAGCACACAAGGGAGCTCGGGAGTCACTAGATGGCAGCAAAACATCCCACTTTCACGCAATTAAAAAATAAATAAATTAAAATAGCCTTCCTCAGCTGGAGGGGG